ACTGGAACTGCTCGAATGTGAAATCTTTCTGGTCAGATGTTACAAACTTTACAGCAAATCATTTTTCAATATATGAAACCACGAGCTGCGTGTGTGTGTGAGGGGTGAGGGGTGAGGGGCAAATTAGAGATTCAAAACATTTCTCCTCGTAGTCCTCCGATTTTTTTTATTTATTGGAAAGACACTGACGCTCCTAGATCGGCCTTTCGGGACATTTTTTACCCCAGAGGAACCCTTGAAATATCCCGGTCATAGGGAAACCCTGCTGATAATTACTATATCTCAGGGGTGGAAGAATGAATTCGGAATCCAGGAGCCAGTCTGTCCAATCCCGGAGCCAGCAGGGTTTCATTAGAAGCTCCATTGACAACATGGTCTTTGGTCCCCTTACATTGGTGGGCAGTGTAGTGTCCTCTCACATTGGTGGTCAGTGTAGTGTCCCCTTACATTGGTGGTCAGTGTAGTGTCCCCTTACATTGGTGGTCAGTGCAGCGTCCCCTTACATTGGTGGTCAGTGCAGCGTCCCCTTACATTGGTGGTCAGTGTAGTGTCCCCTTACATTGGTGATCAGTGTAGTGTCCCCTTACATTGGTGGGCAGTGTAGTGTTCCGTTACATTGGTGGGCAGTGTAGTGTCCCCTTACATCGGTGGTCAGTGTAATGTCCCCTTACATTGGTGGTCAGTGTAGTATCCTCTCACATTGGTGGTCAGTGCAGCGTCCCCTTACATTGGTGGTCAGTGTAGTGTCCCCTTACATTGGTGATCAGTGTAGTGTCGCCTTACATTGGTGGTCAGTGTAGTGTCCCCTTACATTGGTGGGCAGTGTAGTGTCCCCTTACATTGGTGGTCAGTGTAGTGTCCCCTTACATTGGTGGTCAGTGCAGCGTCCCCTTACATTGGTGATCAGTGTAGTGTCCCCTTACATTGGTGGTCAGTGCAGCGTCCCCTTACATTGGTGGTCAGTGTAGTGTCCCCTTACATTGGTGGTACTTCCCCACCTTATTCCATTTTGGGTTCGGCTGTCACTATGAAAGTTTACCTTGACACAAAGGAGCCCTTTGGAAGCCATGGCGTCCTCCCCGCGAGCGTTCGGGTAGAAGTAATACTTGGCTGCTGTGAACTGGTGCCGACTGGCCAAAAATAATCCACTATTGAAGAACCTAAAACCACAACCACGAGGTCCCGAGGGCCCGACATCATACAAAATGTGGGGAAAAGTTGTCCCGAGGCAGCGGCGCAGTTTGCGTGAAGCTCGTCCATCGAACACTTCCTGCAGGCACACAAAGTCAGCATTTTTGGGGAAAGTGACGGACACCTCGAATGGCGCGTCTTCCTCCTCTCCCGTCTTACAAGGCATCTCGATCATCGGCACGACGTCTTCCGTGCCACATATCGGCACCGTGTCCTCACAGTTATTCCCGGCGGGTTCCGGAGCGGAGCACAGGAGGCGGGAGATGGCGGCGCTGCGGCGCTGCGAGTGGCGCAGGTTGCTGAAACGCGCCAAGCCGTCCGGCAGGAGGCAGAGGTTGGCGCTGATGAAGGTGAAGGAACGGTCGCCGCTAAGTATCTTC